TCCATAAAGTGAGGAAAAAAGGTTTTTAGGGATTTGATATGAGGATCTTTTAAGGCATAGGACAATTTGCTGAAGGTGAGTAATTTTAATCATGTTGAGAAATTGAGGCATCAAAAACTTATGTTATGTTCCCAAAAGCTGCCCTTGCGTTATCCCCAGTCAAACATCAATTTGAAGGAAAAAAATCTAAATGTTTGCAATTCTTTAATGTTGCTCCTCTCCTCCATTGCTCTTCACCTCCTACAAAATCTACAGCTCCGATCTCTGAGAACTAGCAGTGGTTCATGACATGCTTGTTCCATTTTAATGGTTTTTATCCATATCATCATTTATGATCCGAATGTGAACCATTGGCCATTGACGCCGACCATTTAATCAAATTGTCTAGGAGACTTTGCTCTACCCATATACTTTATTCTTATTATTACTGTAATTCACTCTCATGTCATTTTTTGTTTTCACATCTTTGACACTTCAGATTGATAATGTGTAGCTTCAGTATTCATATTAGTGTTATTTTCACAAGACACTCCAATGGTTTAGGAATTTGGTTTCTTTTGATATATGGTTGTATAAGACAAAATATGCCCTAAGGAAATTTAGCGTGAAGTGGCATTACGGAAAGGGCCAGTCGAGGTCGACCAGGAAGCAGTGAGATTCGCGGTCGGGCTGTCAACAACGACCGAGGTCGAGCACCAAGAATAGAACAATAACGGCTAGATTTTATAATAGGATGTTAAAGAGAATATTCTATTCTCTGCACTTGTACTATTAGGGTTTGTTAGGGACATGTCTCATATAAAGAGGAAAAGAGACAATGGTGTAAGGCACGTAATATTCACTTGACAAGAACACTTCTTGAAAAGAAGACCCTCTCTCTCCCTAGCAAAGATACTAACTTTACCTTTTCATCAATATTCTCACACACATTATTCCACACTTTTTCATCAGATCCGAGAATAGTTTCGACATTCTAGGATTCGTCTGTCATTTATCATTGTCAGGAAGAATAATCATCTATCTCGTTCATTATTGGCTGAATCATTCTCCTTATTTACATAAATGTCTTGGATTCGTCTGTCATTTATCATTGTCAGGAAGAATAATCATCTATCTCGTTCATTATTGGCTGAATCATTCTCCTTATTTACATAAATGTCTTGGATTCGTCTGTCATTTATCATTGTCAGGAAGAATAATCATCTATCTCGTTCATTATTGGCTGAATCATTCTCCTTATTTACATAAATGTCTTGGATTCGTCTGTCATTTATCATTGTCAGGAAGAATAATCATCTATCTCGTTCATTATTGGCTGAATCATTCTCCTTATTTACATAAATGTCTTGGATTCGTCTGTCATTTATCATTGTCAGGAAGAATAATCATCTATCTCGTTCATTATTGGCTGAATCATTCTCCTTATTTACATAAATGTCTTGGATTCGTCTGTCATTTATCATTGTCAGGAAGAATAATCATCTATCTCGTTCATTATTGGCTGAATCATTCTCCTTATTTACATAAATGTCATTTATTGCTATTATTGAAATTTGTATCACTATAATAAATAATGAAACAGTAAACTTTCTGAAACAGAAAACAAAAACAGAAAGTTAGCAGCAACAAAATGTCGAAATAATGTCTGCAAAAATAATTTCGGAATAAATGGAGCCCATTGAATGCACAATGTGTCTGATAATAGGCTAGATTTATGTAATTTGGCGATTGTTTATGCCTCAGCTTGATTATGTTTCATTGTGATAATATAGTTAAATGATGATAAATTGGCTCTAATTGTGAATTTCACACGTTGTAGGAGGGAGTAGCATATATGAGGCCTTAAAGCTATGATTGGAGCTAAATTGAAGCAAGAAAAGCCCCTAGGAGCTGAGTACGTGGGAAGACGAGAAAAAGAAGAGATGAAATGAAGACCTGGACTAGCGCGTCCATTAGTGCGACCGCGCTAGCCCAGTTCCGGAAGAGTAAATTGCAGGGGTAAAATTGGAAGTTCGGGGGCAAATCCACTTAACCTATAGAAGGTCTAGCTCGCCCAAGAGAGGATTATCAAGGTTTTCATAGCTTAGTTCAAGGCAAGGAGAGGCAAGAGGCAAGGAGGATAATTCAACATCGAGTTCTTCCTTTCTTCCTTTTTGTTTTTACGATTTGTGATGAATTTGAATGTTGTTGTGATGAATCCTAGTATGAATAGCTAAATATTTAGTCTAAGGTTTTGATGGAACCTATTGAAGGATGAACTTCTTGTTATGTTAATATAGTTGTCTGGTTTACTCTCTATTTGTTCAACTACGTTCTTGTTGTAGTTAATTGATAGGATCCTCAATTAGCTGTGCCTATTTAGTGTGCATAACTCGGGAGAGAGTGCATATTTAGGTAATTGTTGAATTGTTGTGAACTATTTGAGATATGTTTGAGGTTACGAAGAGGGTAATTCCCTGAATAAAACTTGGTAATTTCAAGTTCTATGATAAATTGTCGATTTGAGCTACGATAGCGCACATAGCACATGCCTACACTTTTAGCATGTAATTATACCAGTCCAGGAGCATGAAATCTGATATTTTATCTATCATATACATGTGTTCTTGTATACTTGCTTCTGTGCGATATGATTTGGACTGATATACCTGTGACCACGCTGGGCGGATTGATACTATAGCACGTGAGTTGTCCGTACAGATCCAGACATTGATACTATAGTACGTGAGTTGTCCGTGTGGATCCAGATATTGATAATATAGCACGTGAATTGTCCTTGAGCATGTGAGTTGTCAGTGCGGATCTGTATATTGGCACTATATCGCGTGAGTTATCCGTGCAGTTGATATTTATGTGAGCTCTAGTAAAGCTAGTTACATTTCATGATTTCATACTTATTTATATCATTAAATTATTTAATTAAATGGAAGAAAATGAGAAATTTTGTAAAAACCATTCAAAATGTAAAATAAGAATTGAGGAGTGATCCGATGTCGGAAATCTTTCATCTTTGCTTGCTAATCACTTAACTGATTACCCGATTTACTTGTATATCTTCCTTATATGTTGGATTGTTGGCTGAGCAGAACACTCTAAGGCTAAGAATTGTGAGCATAAAAATGGTTTTACCTGATATTGTCCCTGATTTGATCATATACATGTTCTATACTTGTTGAAAATACTGAACTGCATAGGTGTTAGTGAGTATCATCTACAGTTCTTTCTTCTTTTACCTCGCCGAGGCTAGTTAGGATTCTTATTGAGTACATGAGGCCGATTGTACTCATACTACACTTCTGCACCTTGCGTGCAAATATTTGTGTTGATGTTGCTGTGTACGGCGAGGGCTGACATTGAAGATGTACCTGCATTCCACTTATGGCTATCACTTGTTGCATTTGATCCAGTTAGTTTACATTTCAAACAGACGATGTAATTATTTCAATTTAGTTTTGTAAAAATCTAAGTCTTAATGGCTCATGACTTGTACTACCAGTCCTTGGGAGCTCTTTGTATATAAGTCCATTTTTATTATCATTATTTCTCTCAGTAAATCTCATTTAAATTGGATTATTATTAAATTGGCTTACCTAGCGGGTGAAGTTAGGTGTCATCACGACTAATTAGATTTTGGGTCGCGACAACCGGCGGGTTTAGAGTGTCATAATCATTATTTATTTAGAAGATTAGATAACAAAAGAATACTACTTTTTTTTTCCAGAAAATGTTGCTTTTCCCCAAACATATTTTGTGTCTTGCTGTCATGACCCCGGTTCGCCATTCGTGAACCATCGTGACAACACCTAGTCTCTACGACTAGGTAAGCCTAACAATGCAAAAAAAAATAAACCAATTTGCAGAAGAAACAATTTAAAACCAAAAAATTAAATTAAATTATTAAATTTAAAGTGCCGCTTGGCATATACAATAATAACTCTCAAAAGCTAAACACATTTTTCCCAAAACCCGGAATCTCATGATAACAAGCTTTTGAAAGTCTACAATGTCTAACTCCAGAATATCTATCAAGGATACAAATATGGAAGGGCTAATACAAAAGGGAGAGTAGAAAAGGGACTCTTCGGTCTGCGGACGCGGCAGATATACCTTTAAGTCTCTACGAACGCCTTGACTCAAGCATTGAAAGTCTGCGTAGAGGTATCTGGATCTGCATATGAAAAACATGCATAGAAAGGGCATGAGTACACCACATCGGTACTCAGTAAGTGCCAAGCCTAACCTTGGTCGGGTAGTGACGAGGAAGGTCAGGGCCCTACTGAGATTAAACAATATAAGGGATGACAAAATAAGATAAGCAGTACAGTTGAAAGCTGACAGTAAGAATTTAATACAGGATAATAAGGAATACAATAACTGGAATATAGATAAAACAATCACAAGGAAATACCAGTCTTCATAAGGATAATAACCGGAGATCTCTCAGTATCTCGATGATCTCTTAGTACCATCAATATGTGCCAGGGATCTCGTGGTATCCAAAGGATGTCTTGGTGTCCTCAATATGTACTAGGGATCTCTTGGTATCCCGAGGATCTCTTGATATCCTCAATATACGTGCCAGGGATCTCTTGGTATCCCGCACCTCAGCTCAAATTATAAATGCGTATAGGGGATCTCCCGTGATGCCGTCCCGTAGTCCCAAAGTAAAACACACAACAACAACACAAAGAATACTCAACTAAGCTCAATTTCGTACCAAGTAAAACAGGTAAGTCTAACCTAACATGCTTCACATAATACAATTAAGGCAGTTTAAGCAAGTAAGCAATTAAGTCA